GTCCCTCAACCTATTAGCTCTCTTTAGAAAAGGACTTAAAAAGCTCTCTCCCCTTTTCCCTTTTATTAACCCAAGAACACTAACACTAAAATGAATAAACATCACTATCGACAGGTGATTTTTACCCGAAATAATACACCCAAGAAAAAGTACTTGTCATCAAAATATATCAAAATAGAACAATAGAACAACATGACAAATTAAAGTAGTTTTCTTTTATTTTTAACTGTACAATGTTCAAAGGGAGGTAAAAGTGCCATGAGGGGACCATATAGAAACTGTAAACTTCATTTCTTTTCCACCCATTCCTGGGGCATGTGAGTCTTCCCTGGTGAAGACTCAGGGTCCTTGGCACAATAACAGCCGCAGGAGAGAGAACAAAAATATTGCATATTTACATGCAGCTATCAAATCCACCCAAACCTACTTTACCCTCTATCACTATTCCCGGGTGTAAATCACCTGAACACATGCCTGTGGGAAAAAGCAGGTTTTGGATCAGGGAAACAAATATGCCTTCAAAGATGTCAAAGGCGATGCTGAAGCTACCCGGGGACCCATGATACTCAGACAAACGCAACATAATGAAAATCACGTAAACATGTTAGGTCGGGTGAAAATCACCCTGCAACAGGGTTCTAAGGTTAATCACTCCATAACTTAATTTTTAAAGATTTAATGAATATTTTAGCCATTCATAACTCAAGCTCCACAAGAGTTAGGATGCTTTGTAAAGTATTGATTGAACAGATTGATGGTTTAACCTTTTATTGAATTGAAAATAGTGTTAAGACAACATATCAATTTTGAGATTGAAAACCTTTCATGAAAAATTTATGCTTGTTTTTAGTCCAATGCCTGCGGTGCATTTCAAAACAGTAGAGACAGGAACAACACAACACTGAAATAGTTGTGTCATGCCAAAACAAAACAAAACACCAGGAGGAACATCTCCCAACTACTTGCATTAGTAGCCATGGGTTAGCAGCGTAACTTGGGCAAAAAAGGGCACTTCAGACAGGCTCAGTCTCTCAGAAGTAAAGATGGGAAGCTTCACCACTCTGACAGGGTGATGAAACGGTTCAAGAGTTACAGAGCAATGTTACTCATGGGGAAGTTGCGCAGATTTTGAGAATTGCATCAACTACAGAAAATAAAATCATCAAAAGATTCAGAGAATCTGGAGAAATCTTTGTCCAAAAAAGACAGGGCTGATAACTGATACTGGATGCCCATGGATCGTAGTCCTTCCGGCAACACGACAGTGAAAAGCAGACATGACTCTGCAATGGAAATCACTGCTAAGCTGAAAAACTGTTGTCTGTGAACACAGTCTGTAGCTGTAAAGTCCAGGATAAAACTATAGGATGCAAAAAGGATGAATATTATCTGTGAATGCCGTAGACTGTATTTAGAATGGACAGAGTCTGCCTCCTCGCTAGGTGAAGCCACTCTGAGAACAGCACCCTCTGTCATCACAGCGACTCTTGGCTACTCGCCCACCAAATGCGTACAATGCTACTGCGCAATGTTGGTTTCAGAAAGTGGAGAAAAAACACAGAATTACAGAGAGCTCTTTGGCTTCAAATCCGTATACTGGCGGAAGGCGGAACCAAGTTGTCCATAGTATATACAGTCTATGGTGAATGCTGGGAACTTCTCAGAGCCAAAGCCCATTTAAGATAAACTGAGGCAATTGAACAACTGTCCCAGACGGTGGTCAGATTAATCAAAATTTTACATTCTTTATGGAAATCATGGAAGTTGCACCCTCACCTCTGAAGAGAGAAAGAACCATCAGCTTGTTATTACATCCCTGATGGTGTAGGGCTGCATAAGTACCCACTGCATGGCTTGTTTACACATTGTGGTGAAAGGCATCATAAATGCTGAGTGATATATACAAGTGTTGGAGCAACATTATGCTGCCATTCAGACTATGACTTTTCAGACCTTGCATCACTCAGTGAGACAACGCCAAACAAACTGGCCTGTCTGTGGTACTGAGTTTTCACCTGTTGAAAGTCAAAAAACTGTTGAGCAGCTGAAATCTTACACCAGACATAAAAGAAACAACTGTTCGCTTTACAACTCAAGAAACTGGTTTCTTCACACCAACATGCTACAAGCATTCTATTTAAAATGAGTATATGTTTTTGATAAAAAAAACAACATTTTGAGTTCTAACTTTTGATAAGGTGTCTTTGCACCATTTTCAGTTAATATAGGCATTAAATTATTTGTAACTCACCAAATTCTGTTTCTGTCAACATGTCACTTAGTATATTGGAAATCTCTGCTTTGGAAAATGTAGAAATTTTAATTGCATATGGATAATGCGCTTGGTTGACACCTACCCCCTGCAAGAGGTTTTAGATATTACAAAAAACTACAAGTACATAGAAATGATTTTTTTTCATGTTCGGTCTTTTTTCTTTCTTTTTTGCATCAATAAACATTTATATTAATTTTGATATGTTTTATAACCAGATAAAGATCCTTCACAAAAACTTGGAATAGTTTGTTTTTGTTTGTTTGTTTTTTGTTCACAGTGGTGCTATTTTCTTGTGATATAGAAAATCAATGAAATTTGATTTACTTTAGTTGATTTAACTCAAGTTGTTGAAGTTGATGAATATAAATGAATGTAACCTATTTCTCTGTTTATCAGTTCTACCATACATTTTTGGATGTTTATCTGACATAGTAAAGAAATTCAGATCTCAAGTGGAAATGACTTATTATTGCATTAAATAGAGTAAATGTATGGATGCATGTCCACTCAGGACGTCCACAGTGTACATAATATATTATCCACATTATTTCAAGGCATAAATAAACCAGTTGTAGTTCCTACTGTTCTCCACATGTAGGCAGTCAAGTACTTCTTTGCAGCAGTGAAGTTGAGCGGTTTCATCTTCAAGTCAGCTCAAGGAAAGAAGAGAGAAGGCATGCAGACTTATTTATTTACCACTTATGAAAAATGCATATTTCAATGCTACATTATTGAAGAAAATCCTGTCTTGTTGCCTACAGCATGTGTCTTCTATGTGGAAATATACCATTTTCAAAAAGTGCCCTACTTTAGGACTAAACCTAATATTTATCCTACTGCTCACAAGAAAATAATGAATCTACAGCACTATTTTTCTCAGGTTTTAAAGGTGTCGGGATGTTTTCCTAAGTTTGCTCATGCAATGTTTAGTTCAGTTAAGTTTTGAGAAAAGATGGTTTCACCAGATTTATCAAGCCGCTAATTTAATCTGTAGTCCAACATGAAGAGATGCAAAAACACACAATTAAACCCACTTAACACAGGACAATACATGAAAACACAAAAACATAAACTACACAGTAAATTGCAGTGAAGAAGACAGTCAGTGTAGTGTGCTTGTTCATGACGACTTAATTTATCATAGTAGCTGTCTCGACTCGTTAACTCCACACAAACTATCACATCATTTTCAGAAAAGGGATTAAGTATTACTGAAATCATTGAGGAAGATCTTTGTCATCAAATGAGTCACAGGAACCTGACTAATGTCGAGTAGTCATTCACTCAGTTGCACAAGTTTGAGTTTCCTGAACTGTCTTAATCATCTAATCTTATCATACGAATTGATCCAACTTCACTCTTTCTTAGAGAAAAATCACACTTGTAACGTCACTGTATATATTTAATTAAAGTACTTTGGTTATAAGTGTAAATATAACCTATAAATATATTGTTATGGGCTTTGGTAGGACTTTACAAGCAGGAACATGTATATGACTTGACTTGACATGAAGCTTAATACACGGCTTAATCAAAAATACTTATCCAATATGAAAGACAACCTTCACTGTTTGTAAATGAGACATTCCTCATGAGATTGATTATAACTTTTGGTGTTAGAGGTTCATTCTGATGTCCACTTTTTTACTTTCTCTTTAATAAACTTTCTAATTTATTTTTTTTTAATAGAAAATTTCCAGTTTTATTTGTACATCAAGTCAGAAAGATATAAGCAGACTTCCTCTGTCATTTTTGTCTTATTACTTTCTCTGCCAGTTAAGAGGATCATTAGACACTTCAAATGAACAGAACTACTGTTTTGGTAAATGCACTTCATGCCATGTGAACCTGAACAGACTATTCTTCCATGGTGAGAGAAAGTGAGTCCTCTTCCTCACCCTCTTTTTCTCTCTCTCTCACACACAGAGGCATTATTATACAGCATGAGATTTTGCCACCTTGCAGGAAACATGACGGAACGTGTTTCAAATACCGCTCTGCACTTCCCCCCTAACAGCCTCGGGCAATTTTTTTGCTCATTTTGAACCACAAAACAGTGGCTCGGTGGGTAAGAGTGGTCGAAGTGGGTGAAAGAGCACCACATTTCAACTTCGATCTGGGAGAGTGACGGCAGATTACGGGTTATGCTCGGCTGGCAAGGAGAGGACGACGAGTTACAGGATGTACCTTAAGGGTCACACGTAGTGATGACTTTGTTATGTCTTCTTTTTCATCTAGATGGCATTAAATTCAGGTAGACAGATTTGTTTATTCAGTGAAGAAGCTGAGAGGTTTCTTCCTCAGATTCGTCACTAGTTGAAGTTTTATGCACCCTTTTTACTTTTTCTGTGGTTATAAGTCAGAGTCTGCGCGCGTGTTGTGCGTGTACAGTGTGAGTGCGCGTGTTGTGTGTGTGTGAGACAGATGCCAGTAATTTCCTCGGTGCCTCGATGCGCTCATTGGTGCGTCCCTCCAACGTGTCACCAGTTTTGGTGGATTACCCCAGATATCTACAACCATCAGGAGGGTGAAACTCCACTCTCGTCTCTCCAGTCCTGTCCTCACCGTGTCCAGCTGCCAACAAGGAACTGTCACGACAACATTTGGGGAAACTTCTGACTTCTAAAAGAACAACTCTGGAGAAGAGATTTAACCATTTCGATTTTCTTTTATTTCTGAACGCACAAGGAGAAGAAAAATGCAGTTTGTCACTTCAGAGCAAAGGATGTCGCCGGCTTTTTCAGTGCCAGCCTTTCTCTTTTTGGCACCTTTGTTGTTCAAGAGTCTCTGCGTCAGTGGCTCCCCGGGCTGCGCGTCTTGTGGCTTGTCAGGGATGGAGAAAAACGCCGAGGAAAGGATGATGATCGAAATCGCCAAAAGGCAACTACTGGACAAGCTGCATCTGAAAGAAAGACCAAAAATCAGCCCGACTGTGCCCCGGGTTGCGCTCCTGACTGCGCTGCGTAAACTGCACTCTGGGCGCGTCAGACAGGATGGTACACTTGAACTAGAAAACAGTGAACCGACCAGAGATCAAGGCTATGAAATAGTCAGCTTTGCAAATATCAGTAAGTTTGTTTTTTCTCCTTTTAAACTTTAGTCTTTTTTTTCTTGTTTGGTAAAAAAAAAGGTCAAGAGTGTATTTTGAGTGCGCTTTACGCATGCCAGTGCGTAATGAACGCAAATTAGGTCAGGGTTTCAGTGCTCCCTGCACAACTATAGGTTGTTGCTGTTGTTGTGTTGTTTGTAAAAATGTTTCAAAGATTAGGTGAAGAAAATTATTATATATTGAGCTTGAAATGTACATATTATTACTGATTTCATGAAGGAAAAACTTAAAAACCCTTGAAGACTATATGAGGGAACTCTCACTTGACCTGTGGGTTTTACTTGTGCAGCAAAGTTGACACTGTAAGAAGTATCACCACATTAACCAGTTTTTCTGTTATTGTTATTGATCTACAGATGATACAGAGAGCGGCGATGAAGCCAGCCTCAGTCTTACCTTCCAGTTCCTGCAGGAGCGTGGTCAGAGTATCCAAGTCCTCCAGGCTTCTCTGTGGATCTATGCCCACTCCTCTGGGGACGCCCGCATCCCTGCTCGGGTTTTCCTCACCGCAGAGGGTGGAGCTTCTGGATCTAATCGCACCCTGGTCATAGAGAAGATGTTGGAGGTCCAGGAGAGTAACTGGCACACTATTCCCATCACCCGCACCCTGCAGGCCTTCCTCGATGGAGGCCAGCATCGCCTTCGGCTGGAGGTCAGCTGTGATGATAATGGCAAGAACCTCTGCTCCCTGGATGGTCATGCTGACACCCCTTACCAGCCCTTCATGGTGGCTCAGGTGCGTCTCCGGGATGAGAACTCCAAGCACTTAATCAGGAAGCGCTCCCTGCGTTGTGGGGATGATGTCACTGTGTGCTGCAAAAGAGATTTCTACATCAAGTTCAAGGATATCCAGTGGCACGACTGGATCATTGCACCAGAGGGGTACCACATGAACTACTGCATGGGTCAGTGCCCTCAGCACCTGGCCGGCTCACCTGGTATAGCATCCTCGTTCCACGCCACAGTCTTCAGCCAGCTCAAAGTCAACGGCATTAACACAGCTGCATCTTCCTGTTGCGTCCCCACAGAGCGCCGGCCTCTCTCCATGGTCTACTTCAACTCTCAGCACAGCATCGTCAAAACAGACGTCCCGGACATGATCGTGGAGTCCTGCGGATGCACATAAAAGACATGATGTTGTACTTGTTTAAAAACACGAGGAACTCTAAAGAACTATTTTTCATAGTTTATGAACAATTACATGAAATCAAAGTATTTTTCCTGGGACAATGTCAAGTTTCAGCGAGTATGAAGAAAACAATAATGTCACAGGGTAAGCCAAGACCATGGCACTATAGGGAATACATACACAAATCCAGAAAGATGAAGTCATATTTTTTTACTATACATGTCATTACAGGTGCTGAGAGAGGTCGAAGTATTAGGATAATTCTAGAGGCCTGTGATTGACAGGGACGAAAAAAATACTATGTACTTATATTTAAGTATATATATTTTGCATTATATATTTTATATTATACCAAAAGTTTGTTATATGCAGTATGTCACGACCTGTCACTGAGTGCCTATACAGCCGAATGTAATGAGTCAGAGTTGAAAATCATGAGATACACAAAGTGGGGATGCAGACATAAAGTTTGACCGGAAAAGCAAAAGTGGGCAGAAAAGATAAACATTATATAAACATTTGGCAGAAGAAACATATATATAACAGAATGCAATATTAATATAAATATTAAGTAATTTTAAACAGAATAAATTATGCGGATATTTAGATCAGACCTGAAGTCAAACTTTTATGAATGAAAATGTTTCTGCTGATCGTTGAAAACACGGAAAGATTCTGATGGGAAGCCTTTAAGTAGCAGTTAGTTGAAGTTTTTTCTGTTTTATTTTGTTACGTGTGTTGTTATTTATTCTCTATTTCACACTTGTTTCTGGGATACAGTTCAAAGTAATGACAATTGGGCAAAACCGAAACACTTATAGCTTTAAAATGAGTTCACATGCAATAACTTTAATGAAATGGTTTGTTTCAGAACAGTTTTACAGAAGCTGAACGTACAGCTGCCATTTTGAAGCGAGGTTGTAAAGAGACCCTTGATTTCAAATGTGCCTTTTTCATGAAAACAAAGTGCAACTTGGACAGTAAGATTGTTTTTTCTATGTCTGAAAACCAAAGAAAATAACACTTGGTGTTATACTTTTTTGCCATTCATGTGGACTCCTGACTCGATGTTATCTTTCTGATTTTTCTCTTTTTTTCTTATCATATGACTTCTGGACTTCTTTAAATCACTTGCAGGAAATATTTTCTATTTTCTTTTTTTTCTTTGACAGAAAATTTTTGCATTTTGAAAAGGTGATATCTGCCAGCCCATGCAGCCTGACATCTGCCCTGATTAGAAAAAAAGAAACAAAAAAGTGCTTGATCAGCATCTTCACTGTAATATTTACCAAAGTCGGCTACTCTGTTGGGTAATGACGGCTGTGACAGCATATGAACCGAAGGTCATTTCTCAGCAACGTGAGTAAACATTTAGCTATTGCCTCAGTGTCAGGTAATGTGAAGGTCTGTGAGGCAGCTGGGTCAGGGAGCATGTGCTGTTGCACGTTGGCATTAAAATCAGGTCTGGAATTTTCAAAGTCTTAAGTTTTCTGGGATGACATAAAATCAGAAAATTCCAAATAAAGACAATTTGGGGATCTGATTTTAAAACATTTCTCTTAAATAAATTATAATAATTTACTTCTTCTGACCAGGTGATGTTTGTTAAAAAATATCTGCATACTTGGATACTCTCATTTCCAGTATTACGTTGTTGCAGTGCTGCACCTTGCACAATACAACACATGGCAAAACCTGGAAATTTGTTCACAGCTTCAAAAACATGAAACATTATTTAGCATTTTTTGACACTTTTCAACAAGACCTGAAAAACTGAAATGGGCCATATTGTTCCAAAGTCGTGCTTCCGTCTCATTTCTCATCAGGAATGATTTTTCAGGAACTTTTAGTACAAAAACTAAAAAAGTGAACAGAATACTTTAACAACACAGATTCAAGCTCTTTACCTTGTGTCTTTCCTACACTGACTTATCTAAATTTTTTTTTTCCTGTTCTGTGCAGCCTGAAAATCCACTTTTTTCTGACCTGTGTGTTCAAACCTGTGTGAAAATGTTCATTGTTGGATGTTATTGTATATTATTTTATTCTGTCAGCACCCACCGTCCCAGGACTCACTGAGGTGCTATTGTAACATAACTCGCTGAGCACTTTATCACCTTACTGTATATACAACTCAGGTGACGAACCCAACAAAATGTAATTGCAATCACTTTGTTTTCTTCGGCCCTAGTTGTGTTTTGCGACACTGTGTGTGTTTTTGCAGCGTACACAGACAGTGTGAGAGTATCTGATTACTGTAACTGGTAGAAATGACGCCGGGTTTTTGTGTGAATTTTGTAGTTATACAGCATACTGTGTTTTCTGCTGATTTCTTAATGCTACTGAGTGTAATATTTTGTGATAAAATGCGCTGAAATTCTATAATTATACTATATTTTTAATAAATAAGTATTTTAATTCAATACAAAGTTTTTGCCTTGGTTTTTTAACAGTCATGTTTCCTCTTTATAGCTGCAATGATGAGTTTTTCTATTAGCGATACAATAGTTATGATTTATACTTTCACCCACTCCAGAAGAGTTTATCAAAACAAAATATTTGGTAACACTTTACAATAAACATAACTTATAAATTGGTTAATAGACTATTTATAAATGGTAAATAGATAGTTTATAAATGTTCAATCATCATTTATAAATAGCATATAGATAATTGATAAACTGTATATAATACAATTTTAAAAACCTAACCCAAACTTTACAATAACCATCTAAAGAATGTTTATAGATGGTTTAAAAAACAAATATTAACCATCTACAAAGTGCTACTAATGCACATTTTAATCTAGATGTTTTACAACCAATATTTAAACACTATATAAACCTTTAATAAATAGTCCATTAATGATTAATGAAAGTTATTAATCATAGTTTCATTGCTTGTCAATGGTTAAGTAACTATTAACTTACATTAATAAACTATCTATTTTCCATCTTATAATTGGTCTATAAGCTGTTTTTAAATGATTAAACATTAATAAACTATCTATTTACCATTTATAAATTATGGTTATTGTAAAGTGTTACCAAATATGGTAATTATATTAACTTGATGAAAAATGGTAATTATAAAAGGTTTTATCTTACAATGATATATTAAAATATAATTTTGTGACAGTTTCAAAACAGGAATTACTGCCATTGCACTAAGGATAAAACTCTGGTACAGAAAAGGGGCGTTCTCTAAGAGTTGGCTTTTATGATTTTGGCCTGCATGCAAAGAAAAGAAAAATGAGTCATGTTATCGGTCATGTTATCACACTGGCGCTGTCTGTAAGGCAAAGTGTGTGTTTGCTCACACAAATAGTAGAAGTGGCTTTATGGACTGTCTGTGTTTGGTGTGCAAACAGATGTTGCATTCCCCTGGCATGTTGTCATCGTCACATCAAGCATCAGCATCTTTGATCGCAGCCCGCAGCTGGGACAACAATTTTGAAGCTCCTGATCGGTTTAATCAAAAAGAGGAAAAATGGTGTTGAAGGTTTGGAAAGCTAGAAAACTGTTTGAAGGCAAAGAGCGAGAGGATAGAAGATTTTCTCTTTCTTTTTCTTACTTTTCCAATTTAAAAAACACAGTTTCAAAAAAATTGCACGATTATGCAAGAAGCCATGATTGCCCTCTCCATGCACAAGTTAAAATTGAGATACAGAAATAAAGCAAATCAATGCACACAGAGCTCCTTAACAGTTTGGACACTTTGTAAACAACACGGATAAAAAAAAAAACAGATTTTGATGGTTTTCAAGTCATTTAAATCCCAAATTTGGTTTAAAAATAATGCAGACATAACAAATCTAAAAAATGTTTCTTACATTAAAAATATTTATCCATTATGAATTCGATGGCAGGGATAGTTTTTGTTTTAAAATTTGGGTCAGAGATGATAAAACACTAAAAAAGTTGCATAATTCTGAAAATAAATGCACCTGAGAAGTAAATTTCAACTAATTCAGTTAAATTGCAACAAGTTTGCGACATGACTCTCAGGGTGTCTCATATGGAGAGAGAAACTGTGAGAAACTGCTTGAGCAAATAGTTAAGGAATTCCAGAGCAATGGTTTTCAGCCTAAAACAATAATTTGGGAATTTTGACATCAACAGAAGACAATCTCGAAGACTACCAGAGGGACAGATCCAGAAACCAATGATAGGATGTGATTTTCAGGCCTGTAGGTAGAACCGCATTATAAATAGACATGACTCTGCAGTGGAAATCACAGCATGGGCTTAAAATCCCACTAAAAAACTGTACCATGCAAAGGGGAAAACATGTTTAAACACAATCCAGACCAAACCAGTTTATGATGGACTGAAGCAAAGTGGAAAACTGCTGTATCCTCCAAAAAACCAGCATCCCGAACCTGATACATAGCCTACAGGTTTTAGAGCAAGACCCTGCATATTTCAGCAAGACGATGCCAAATTACATGTTGCTTGGGTTACAACAATATTACTCTGTAGTGCTAAAGTGACCTGCCTGCATTCCTGATCTGTCTCCAACTGAAAACATTGAGCAGATCCATGAAAAGGACCTCAAACTATCTGACAAGAGCGGGACAGTGTTTCTCACTCACTACTCCAGAAACCGTCCTCCCCAGTTTCCAAACATTTACAGTGTTGTCAAAAGAACAAGTGATGCAACATGGCAAACATGCCCCTGTCCTAACTGTTTTTAAACTTGTTGCGGGAATAAAATCTAAGATGAGCCCACATTTCTCATAAAGCAATAATATTTTTCACTTTCAGAACTCCACACATAGCACTTTTTCTGTTAATTCACTCGAGGGTTTTCAAAAAGAATTCACACAGCCTCAAACTTTTTTTAAGACTCAGGGTTGTATCCTTGAGTGAATCTACAAAAGACATGCAGCCACAATCCCTGCCTTGCCCTGCCAATAAAACAACGTCAAAATGAAGCGTGTCTTTGTGCCCTCACATGCAGCCAGCGCCTGTTCTTGTCTGAAACCACCCAAAATT